ATTCTCAAGGTCTGTTCGGCGAATGAAGCTTTTCCCTGCAAGTTGAGTTCTCCTTGAAACAGTTAGAAAAGTAGGTTATGTTTCTTTTGAGTCTGTTTCCATTTTTTTTCTTCTCCCTGCCGCTCTTGAAGTGATGTTTCCTTGAGAAATCTTTGTCTTTGTACATCTGTCCCTTCCTAATCTCGCTCTGATCTTCAGAATACAGAAGCAAAACTTTTCTAAAGTAACATGAAGCTCCCAGACTCCGGCAGCCTCCGATGCCTCCAGGCACATACACACCCTCTAGGATTTGCAGGGCTTTGCAATCCTAAATCACCTTTCCTTGTATAATTTCTCCTACCCTCAGCTGCTCTGTTTAGCTCCATATCTTTATACAGACGTTCAAAGCGACTCACTCCATGGTGTCATCCTAACAAGCCCAGGGCTAGTTCCATAATCTGTACAAAACTGTCTGCCATTGTCATTAATTAGCATACAGACCATCTACTAATTACGTGGGGGGGAAACGGCAGCCAGGCTTGCCATAGACATGACTGCCGGCTGTAAATGCTGAATAATCCTTACATTAATATGCATTCTTTATTGAGTATACTCTGTAATGTCCATGGATGGGGTCAGGGGAGGACAGATACCAGGGGCGGACTGACCATTTGGAAACTCGGGCACTGCCCGAGGGCCTGGGGTCAGTAGGGGGCCCCATGAGATGCCCCTGGTACCTTTTTCATAGGCTTTTTTGAGTTTGGGCAAGGACACAGGGGCCCCATGATCCCCTATTGCCCGGGGCTAACCAGTTGCTTTATAATCCCACTAACAGTTGAGCGTGGAATATTTAGTAGCCAGGAAATGTCACGGATGGACTTATTGCACAGGTGACCACCTATCACGGGACCACGCTTGGAGTCACTGAGCTCCTGAGAGCGACCCATTCTTTCACCAATGTTTGTAGAAGCAGTCTGCATGCCTAGGGGCTTGATTTTATACACCTGTGGCCATGGAGGAGATTGGAACTCCTGAATCACATGAGTTGTCAGTCCGCCCCTGACAGATACATTATATTGCCGAACGTATTGGGCAAGCCATCCAAATCATGTGATTCAGGTGTTCCAATCCCCTCCGTGGCCACAGGTGTATAAAATCAAGCCCCTAGGCATGCAGACTGCTTCTACAAACATTGGTGAAAGAATGGGTCGCTCTCAGGAGCTCAGTGACTCCAAGCGTGGTCCTGTGATAGGTGGTCACCTGGGCAATAAGTCCATCCGTGACATTTCCTGGCTACTAAATATTCCACGCTCAACTGTTAGTGGGATTATAAAGCAACTGGGAACAACAGCAACTCAGCCACCAAGTGGTAAGCCACGTAATATGACAGAGCGAGGTCAGCGCATGCTGAAGCGCACAGTGCGCCGAAGTCACCAACTGTCTGCAGAGTAAATAGCTAAAGACCTCCAAACTTGGTGTGGCCTTTAGATTAGCACAACAACAGTGTGTAGAGAACTTCCTGGAATGGGTTTCCATGGCCGAGCAGCTGCATCCAAGCCTTACATCACCAAGTTCAATGCAAAGCGTCGGATGCCGTGGTGTAAAGCACGCCGCCACTGGACTCTAGAGCCATGGAGAAGTGTTCTCTGGAGTGACCAATCACGCTTCTCTGTCTGGCAATCTGATGGATGTGTCTGGGTTTGACAGTTGCCAGGAGTTTGGTGGAAGGGGGATTATGGTATGAGGTTGATTTTCAGGGGGTTTGCTTGGACCCTTAAATCCAGACAATTTCATGCTCCCAACTTTGTGGGAAGAGTTTGGGGATGGCCCCTTCCAACATGACTGCACACCAGTGCACATAGCAAGGTCCATAAAGACATGGATGAGCGAGTTTGGGGTGGAGGACCTTGACAGGCCTGCACAGAATCCTGACCTCAACCCCATAGAACACCTTTGGGATGAATTAGAGTGGAGACTGCGAGCCAGGCCTTCTCAGTACCTGACCTCACAAATACGCTTCAAATGCGATTCCCATAGAAACACTCCTAAACCTTGTGGACGGCCTTCCCAGAAGAGCTGAAGCTGTTATAGCTGCAAAGGGCGGACCAAGTCAATATTGAACCCTACGGACTAAGACTGGGATGCCATTAAAGTTCATATACATGGAAAGGCCGGCGGCCCAATATTGCGGGCAATATAGTGTACCTCTGGTATGATTCTAGTGGAAACAGTAGTCCATGGGCTTGCCCAACGATGACCAATGGGATTTGCCTGAGGATACCTACTGAGCTGATGCCAGATGGTTTTCATGTTTCTTTGTAACTTAACCACTTCAATATGGAAAACTTTCACCCCCTTCCAGCCCAGGCCAATTTGCAGATTTCAGCACTGTCGCAATTTGAATGACAATTGGGCGGTTGTGCAATGCAGTAACCAAATTAAATTTTTATAGTTTTTTTTCACATAAATAGAGCTTCATCACTGTTTTTTAAAATATTTTTGTGATATAAAGAAGAAAAAGAGCAACATTTATATATATATATATATATATATATATATATATATATAATTTTTTTTTACTTTCTGCTATAAAAATTATCAATATAAAGAATTATAAAATCAAGTTTCTTCTATTTTTGGCCAAAATGTTTTTTTTTACTTTCTGCTATAAAAAATATCCAATATAAAAAATTATAAAATCAAGTTTCTTCAATTTTGGCCAAAATGTATTTTGTTACATGTTAAAAATCCCAATAAGTGTATATTGATTGGTTTTGGTGAAAGTTATAGCATAGTTTTTTTTATTTTTGCTAAATAAACAGAAAAATGACTGACAATTTTGAAAAAATTGTTTTTCTTTGTTTCTGTTATGCAGTTTTGCCAATAAATAATTTTTCTTTATAAATGTAGGTATTCTGTTATATTTCTTTGGTGAAAATAACCCAAATCGGTGTACAGTGCATCCAGAAAGTATTCCCAGCGCTTAACTTTTGTCACATTTTGTTATGTTATAACCTTATTCCAAAATGATTTAAACTAATTTTTTCCTAAACATTCTACAAACAATACCCCATAATGACAACGTTAAAGAAGTTTGTTTTGAAATCTTTGCAATTTCTTAAAATAAAAAACGAAAAAAAAAAAAACACATGTGCATAAGTACTCAAAGCCTTTGCCATGACATTCAGAATTGATCTCTGGTGCATCCTGCTCCCACTGATCATCCTTGAGATGTTTCCACAACTTGATTGGAGTCCACCTGTGGGACATTCAGTTGATTGGAGTCCACCTGTGGGACATTCAGTTGATTGGAGTCCACCTGTGGGACATGTCAGTTGATTGGAGTCCACCTGTGGGACATTCAGTTGATTGGAGTCCACCTGTGGGACATTCAGTTGATTGAACATGAATAGGAAAGGCATAAACCTGTGTATAGAAGGTCCCATAGTTAACAGTGCATGTCAGAGCAAAAACCAAGCCATGAAGTCCAAGGAATTGTCCGTAGACCTCCGAGACAGAATTGTATCAAGGCACAGATCTGGGGAAGGATACAGAAAAATCTTTGCAGCATTGAAGGTCCCAATGAGCACAGTGGCCTCCATCAACCGTAAATGGAAGAAGTTTGGAACCACCAGGAATCTTCCTAGAGCGAGCTGCCTGGCCAAAATCAGTGATTGAGGAAGAAGGACCTTAGCCAGGGAGGTAACCAAGCACCCAATGGTCACTCTGAAAGAGCTCCAGCGTTTCTCTAGGAGAGAGGAGAACCTTCCAGAAGAACAGCCATCTCTGCAGCACTCCACCATTCAGGTCTGTATGGTAGAGTGGCCAGACGGAAGCCATTCCTCAGTAAAAGGCAAATGGCAGTCTGCCTGGAGTTTGCCAAAAGGTACCTGAGGGACTCTCAGACCATGAGAAACAAAAGTCTCTGGTCTGATGAAACAAAAATTGAACTTGCTAAATGCCAAGCATCATGTCTGGAGGAATCCAGGCACCGCTCACCACCTGGCCAATACCATCCCTACAGTGAGGCATGGTGGTGGCAGCATCATGCAGTGGGGATTTCAGCGGCAGGAACTGGGAGACTAGTCAGGATGGAAGGAAAGATGAATGCAGCAATGTAGATATATCCTTGATGAAAACCTGTTTCAGAGCCCTGTGGACTTTAGACTGGAGCGACAGTTCATCTTTGAACAGGACAACGACCCTAAGCACACAGCCCACATGACAAAAGAGTGGGTACGGGCCGACTCTGTGAATGTCCTGAAGTGGCCCAGCCAGAGCCCAGACTTGAATTGAACATCTCTGGAGAGATCTGAAAATGGCTGTGCACCGACGCTCCCCATCCAACTTGATGGAGCTTGAGAGTTACTGCAAAGAAGAATGGGAGAAATTGCCCAAAAATAGGTGTGCCAAGCTTGTAGCATCATACTCAATACGACTTGAGCCTGTAATTGGTGCTAAAGGGGCTTCAACAAAGTATTGAGCAAAGGCTGGGAATACTTATGTACATGTTGGGGCTGGGAATACTTATGTACATAGAGTTATTTTTGTTTTTCATTTTTAATACATTGCAAAGATTTCAAAACAAACTTCTTTCACATTGTCATTATGGGGTATTGTTTGTAGAATGTTGAGGAAAAAAATTAATTTAATCCGTTTTTGGAATAAGGCTGCAACGTAGCAAAATGTGGCAAAAGTTAAACGCTGGGAATACTTTCTGGATGCACTGTATATAGTATATGGTCTACGTAAGAGTCAACTGCTGGATCATCTGAAAACCACAAGGACTCCATGTAAGATCTGAACAAGGCTCAAATGGCAAATGGGAAGTCGGAGAGTTCCCTGTAATGTAACTTTAGCCGTTTTGTGGTTCATGGACTGTATACAAACTCTTGTTTGTGTTTTGTTGAGTGTTTGTTCTTCCCCATAGAAGCCGGTTTGAATGCTACTCAAAGCAGATCATTGAACCTCAGAAGCAGATCAATGAAACTCAGAAGGATCTTGAAGGAACTATTTTAAAGTGTATCTAAGCCAAAAAGCAAAGCTACCATTCAGGGGTGGACTGACAGCTCATGGGGCCCCCGGGCAATAGGGGATCATGGGGCCCCTGTGTCCTTGCCCAAACTCAAAAAATCCTATGAAAAAGGTACCAGGGGCATCTCATGGGGCCCCCTACTGACCCCGGGCCCTCGGGCAGTGCCCGAGTTTCCAAATGGTCAATCCGCCCCTGCTATCATTTAATAAAATAGAATTGAGCCTAAAAAATAAAACTGCTTACAAGTTAGATTTTTAAGACAGAAGAAACCCTGTTGGCTGCATGCGCAGCTCAGCGTACATTTTATGGCAGGGCTCTTCGCTGTGATGATGAGACTCCTGCACATGCGGGGAAGTGACCTCTTCACATCCCGGCCAATCAAGCAGCTAAAGAGTCTGACCCTGGAAAGAAGACTGGAAGAAGACTGAAGAGATGGAAGCGTCCCTTACACCACAGCACTGGAGGGGATTGTTTGCCGGGTAAGTCCACCATAATGTGCTACTATTCGATGCATACTAGCAGGGGCGGACTGACAACTCATGGGGCCCCCGGGCAATAGGGGATCATGGGGCCCCTGTGTCCTTGCTCAAACTCAAAAAAAGCCTATGAAAAAGGTACCAGGGGCATCTCATGGGGCCCCCTACTGACCCTGGGCCCTCGGGCAGTGCTAGGCGGCACTGGCTGGCACAGATAGGTGGCACTGATTGGCGACACTGACTGGCACTGATAGGCAGCTCTGATGGGCACTGATATGTGGCTTTGATGTGCACTGGTAGGTACTGATATGTGCACTGATGGGCACTGGTATGTGGAATCAATGGGCACTTGCAGGTGGCATTGATGGGCACTGATGGGGCTACACTGATCATCAGTGCCCTGATGATCAGTGTAGATGTCCCCTCTGAGTAATACAGAGCTGTCAGCATGAGGAGAGGACTGCCGATAGCCGGCATTTCCTAGTTACATTTTAACAGCTGTGATTGGACACAGCTGATCACATGGCAGAGCCGATGTCCTCAGCTCTTTACAGTGATCGGTGATCCGCTGTGTCCCAGGGACAAAGCGCACAACTGATCACCACGCCGCACCCCCTATCCTGAGCACTTAGAGTGGGAGGATGTCATATGACTACAGAATGCCTATACCGTGCCTAGTGTTGGACTACAGTGTTCATGTATTTTTGTGCAACTCTACATCAGTATCAGCATACCGTAGAGATTCTGTATATTCTTCACCCAGTAGATGGCAGTGTTTATACATTTGTAGCTGCATTTATGACTATACTCTAATTCAGGCATCAGTAAATGGGGGTCCGCGGTCTGGATCTGGACCCAGAAACATTCCATTCTGGACTGCAGCCTCACCAAATAGTTGCCTGAATGTCCTCTCCCCACCGTCGGCTCCCCAACCTGCCGCTATTATCCTCCAGGAAGGGCACATCATTTGAGGTGCAGCAGGTCTGTCCCTTCCATAATATTTCAGCACTCCCCCCCTCCCCCACACTGTCCTACCTTATTCACACAAGACGGGAAGCACGGCAGGTCTGGACATAGGGCGGGACTTTTCATTTTAGGAAGCAGGTGATTGGTTGCTAGGCAATGCTGGGGGGCGGTCCAATCAATCATTTACCCGCCTTTAACATGAAAAAGTCCCGCCCTAATTCCAGACCTGCCGTGCTTCCCGCCTTGTGTGAATAAGGTAGGACAGTGTGGGGGAGGGGAGGAGTGCTGAAATATTATGGAAGGGACAGGAATCTGTAATATGCAGGGAGGACTGTGATGGGGCAATCTGTGATGGGGGGGGGGGGGGGGTCTGTGATAAGAGGGGTCTGTGATGAAGGGGGTTCTGTGATGAGGGGTCTGCGATGGAAGGTATCTGTAAAAAGGGGATTTGTGTTGAGGGGATCTGTAATGAAGGGGGTCTGTGATGAGGGTGTCTGTGATGAAGGGGGTCTGTGATGAGGGTGTCTGTGATGAAGGGGGTGTGTGATGAGGGTGTCTGTGATGAAGGGGGTGTGTGAAGAGAGGGGTCTGTAATGAAGGGGGTCTGTGATGAGGGGTCTGCGATGGAAGGTATCTGAAAAGAGGGGATCTGTGATGAGGGGATCTCTGTGATGAAAGGGGTCTGTGATAAGAGGGGTCTGCGATGGAAGGTATCTGTAAAGAGGGGATCTGTGATGAGGGGGGTCTGTGATGAGGGGGTCTGTGATAAGAGGGGTCTGCGATGGAAGGTATCTGTAAAGAGGGGATCTGTGATGAGGGGGGTCTGTGATGAGGGGGGTCTGTGATGAGAGGGGATTTGTGATGAGGGGGTCTGTGATGAGAGGGGCCTGTGATGAGAGGGGATTTGTAATGAGAGGGGTCTGTGATGAGGGGGGTCTGTGATGAGGGGGGTCTGTGATGAGGGGGGATTTGTGATCACGTGACGTGGTAAAAGGCCAATCACAGCGGCCTTTTACCACGTGATCAGCAGTGTCCAATGACACGCTGATCACCGGGAAATGCAAATGCCGGTTCTCGGCTGCACTTTCCTCACGCTGTCAGATTGTGAGGAAAGTGCTGCTGAAAACCGGCAGTTGTCAGAGCAGGGATCGGCACCGATCATCAGGGTCACTGATCATCAGTGCCCTGGTGATCGGTGCCCAGCAGTGCCACACACAAGTTCCGCCCACCTGTGCCCAGCAGTGCACCCACCTGTGCTACCCAGCAGCGTCACCACCTGTGCCCAGAAGTGCCACCTACCTGTGCCCAGTAGTGCCACCCACCTGTGCCCACCCACCTGTGCCCACCAGTGCCACCCACCTGTGCCCACCAGTGCCACCCATCAGTGCAGCCCAGCAGAGCTGCCAGTCAGTGCCACCAGTCAGTGCCCAGCGGTTGTGCCAGTCAGTGCGCAGCAGTGCCGCCAGTCAGTGCCCAGCAGTGATGGCAGTCAGTGCCACCTATCAGTGCTGTTTATCAGTACCCATTATCAGTGTCGCCTATCAGTGCCACCAATCAGTGCCGCATATCAGTGCCACCTATCCGTGACACCTCATTAGTGCTGCCTATCAGTGCAGCCTATCCGTGCCACCTCATTATTGCTGCCTATCAGTGCCGCCTATCAGTGCCCTTCAGTGCTGCCTATCAGTGCCGCCTATCAATGCCCAGCAGTGCTGCCTCATCAACGCACATCAGTGAAGGAGAAAAATTACCTGTTTGAAAAATTTTATAATAGAAACAAAGAAACTTTTTTTTTTTTTTTCAAATTTTTTTGCACTTTTTTTGCTTATAGCACAAAAAGTAAAGCACCCAGCAGCCATTAAATACCACCAAAAGAAAGCTCTATTTGTGAGAAAAAAATGATAAAAATTTCATATGGGTACAATCTTGCATGACCGTGCAATTGTCAAAGTGCGACAGCGCTGAAAGCTGAAAATTGGCCTGGTAAATAAGGGGGTATAAGTGCCCGGTAGGCAAGTGGTTAAAGGACATGGGTAGTAGTAATGGATTGCTAGGGTAAAAGAAGCCCTGGGTCTAATGCAGGCCATACATGGGTCAAAGTCAGAACGAATTTCCTTCAGAAAATCTGAAATTTTGTGCATTTTGTAATCCGATGGCACCACCATTGATTTCAAAATTCATCCAACCAAGTCTTTAATTTCACCTCATGTTGCTACAGAAAAGGATGTTCGTGGCTAAGAATTTTCTTTTCTTTCCAGGTCACAGCTCGTGTTCAATTCTTTTTCGATTACATTTTTTGCACGATTCTCCCATCATTGATTAGAAATTCATTCACTTTTCAAAATATTTCCAACATGCCCGATAACTGAAATCAATGGTTGCTCGAAAATCGGCTGTTGCTGTGGTCCACTAATGGTGCGAAATTAGAACAAAAATTAAAATAGATTATTGAAAGAAAATTCTTTTGGAATTCGACCCGTGTATGGCCGGCTTAAGTAGGATAAATTGGGATATAGGCAATGAGTTCAAGCAGGGTATGGGAGCATGGGAGGTTATGGAAGGTGTGGTAGAGGGTAAACGTTGTGGTGGAAAAGCCATGTCACACATGCAACACATCTCTTATGTAGTGAGGAGATCTAGGAGTTCCTGAGAATCCCTCAAGACCATGTGGGGTGGGTGCAGCAGCACAAAGCACATAGAGCCCCGAATTGTGGTAAACAATGTATTGCAGAACTTGTAAAACAGTACAGCAGCCCGGCTGGGGAGAACACTTGACCGAAGAGCTTACATCAATTAGAGTGGAGAGTCAGCGGTGTGTAGGCCCGAGCTGGACACAGAACCTTTCAAGGAGAGCAGACCTGGCCGGTCTAACCCAAAGAGAAGCTTTCTGAGCTGCAGACAAAGGCCCTACTTCTCCGGAACCTCTCCCTACTGTTAGTGCTGCCCCTGGGCCTATGCTAGCCACTCGCAAAATGTGCACCAAAATCTGGTGGCAGGGACTTAAAAAGGCTCTGCGTGACCAAAGATGGCTGCCGGGTCACCTGGATCCAATCAGGGGATCGAGGGAATCATAGAGAAACTCAGTTTCTCTTGACTTCCTCCTCTAGCTCCATTGCTGTTCCGGATGAGCGCCACCTGCAGTGGAGAATGTAGAATGCACCTGCCGACAACTACCCAAGCTGCCCATGTAATTTGGTATCATTCCATCTATTTACGAACTGCAGCCATCAGATTCTGCATATGTGTTCATTATAGAGTCCAGCTCTGTAATCCATTCACCCAGGAACTGTATGCATGTGGTTTGCCAATGGCAAGGAATAATTGCTCTGGCTGCTGTGAGAAAGAGGCAAAATAACATCTTTCTTGATGGATTTAATAGTGACAGGCAGACAGAAGAGTGATATGGTGAGGTTTTGGTTTTTGTGAACCTGTTGACTGATGGAGAATAGCATTCCAGAACACCTATTGTGTGTCCTGTTACCCCTATCTCCATGGCACTGCCAGCATACATTTGGGATGGAAGATATAAATTGTATAAGAAGGCAGGACATCATGTGTTTAGAGTTTTTGAACCCAAGCTTGCTGCCCTGGTCAAAAATATCTTCCAGGGGTCTCCAAACTTTCTACATAAAGGGCCAGTTTACTGTCCTTCCGACTTAAGGAGGGCCAGACTGTGCCCAGTGGGAATAAACTATTCCCCATCTTTGGATATAGGGAGAAAAATAGTGGGTGTCAGTAGAAGGAATAGTGTC